TTCAAGTTCCTTGTTATACCTTTTGTCCCAACATGAAAGAGGAGAAAGGGATAATCTGTGGCTTGATTATTTTGGGAAGCCTCTCTGTCACATCTTTTATTTTTGCATATTGGAGACAATATACCTACCTTGGTAGATTGTCTGGTCTACAAATGGCTGATTCTATTCCTCTGGAGAAATGAGCCACCTATCACCAACACACACCTTTTTTCCTGTCACTGGAATATTTGAATGAAATCTCTTCTCCGGATGTCTGCATGTTTTCTTCCAGGGGGAGCATATGAAATCGATTGCTCCACTCCTGCAGGGCTACACTGGACAGTCTTCTTGATTATTTTTTTTTGTCAGGTGAGTGACATGCTGCCATCTACCTACCTAGTCTAAGGGGTTCATTTTTCCTGGTAGTTGTTTGTTCCTTTCTGTATTCAATTTGGACATGGACTTCTGCTTTTACTGGGCGTTCTTCATTTTCTTGGTTGAGTCTCAAGAGTAGCTAGGCTTGCCTTTAGACCCTTCATTTTTTTCTTCCAGTATTCTAATTAATTTACATTTGGTGCAGGTATTTTGGGTCCTCTATGGGTATGAATACATATATAGTACATTGTTGCAGTCTATTAAAAACCAAGATTAAAAACATATGGACAGTAAAATGTTTAATTTAGTGTCTTTTAAAAAATATTTCTGTTTTTCTATCATTTTATTCATTGCATTATGAAGACCATTAATAGATTGCACAGTGTATAGATGTGGAATCCTTGTTCTTACCAGCCCTCTTCGTGTATCTATGGAATCAAACAGGATTGGAAGGGACCTTAGAGATCTTCTATTAGTTCAATGGCCCACCCAGTGATGGAGCACCCACAACTCCAACACACAGGCTAGTGTGAAAACAGCAAGCACTTCCTTTATTTCCCTCCCTCCCAGGGTCTGCAGGGCAGAGTTGCCAATAAACAACCCCCTTGATACAGCTGAAAATAGAGAGAAGTCAAGAAGAAGAAGGAAAAAAAAAAACCCAAATCCCCAAACTACTGGAGGAATCAACCTCCAGTGACTGAAAGTATAGAGACATAGTGAGGAAAAGAACTACTTCAAAAGGAGCAAGATTGCCACCTGATGGCCATTAAATGTGACAACAGAGAACAAAAAGAAATCCCAGGGAGAGATAAGAAAAAGAGCATGATTTGTAAGAAATCATCGTATACTAGATAGCAATAGAGAACTATGGTGTAAAGTGTAGATAGGGTTCCTCAAAGTGGTCAGTATTAACTCCCATTGGGACTTATTATTTGAAGCCCTATTATTTAAAGTAGTATTTATTACATTATTTGAATTATTTGAGAACATAGAGAACATAGAACATATAATAACAGAGTTGGAAGGGACCTTGGAGGTCATCTAGTCCAACCCCCTGCTCAGGCAGGAAACCCTATACCCAGGGCTTTTTTTCTCGGAGAAAAGGTGGCGGAACTCAAACCTGGCCACGCCCTCATCAAACCCTAGGACCGCCCCTTTAGAGAACAGGAATGCAAGTAAAATTTGGGAGGGGCTATTTCCGGTGTGGGAGGGGCTATTTCCGGTGCGGCCGGCCCGGAANGACAGAGCCCAGTGTTCAAGTCTGTGAAGATCCTTCTGTATCGTGAGCCTATCTTCTGGAATGTTAGCTATTCCTGCCAGCTTGGTGTCATCAGCAAATTTGATGAGTTCTCCTTCTAAATATGAGTACAGTATTCCATACAATCATAGACCTTAATAAAGCAGGATTCCAGTTCACAGAATTAAGTTTACAGTATGTATATTGCAGCAAATATGACAGTAGATTTCCGCAGATATCCAAGTGAAATATATGGCAGTTAGACAGGTATCTTCTAACAGTTTCTAAATCTTGTGCATTGAAACAAACACTGAACAGGGCTTCAAAGTTAGACATATTTAAAATATTTAAACAATTAAAGTGTGGCTTTATAATCTCTCTCTCTCTCTCTCTCTCTCTCTCTCTCTCTCTCTCTCTCTCTCTCTCTCTCTCTCTCTCTCTCTAGCATGGATCAATCAGAAAGACTAGGGCTGAACTTAGCACAATTTAATATCATTTCCAATAAAAAGTTTTGAAATTTGTTTCAGTGAAAAGATATTTATAAACAGTGCAAAGGTAGTCCTCGACTTACAACAGTTCATTTAATGACTGTTCAAAGTTACAACAGCACTGAAAAAAGTGAGTTATGACCGTTTTTTACACCTACAACTGTTACAGCATCCCCATGGGCATGAGATCAAATTTCAAATGCTTGGCAACTGACTCATACTTATGACGTTTGCAGTGTCCCAGGGTCATTTGATCACCGTTTGTGACCTTCTGACAACCTAAGTCAATGGGGAAGCCAGATTCACTTAACAACCATGTTGCTAACTTAACAACTGCAGTGATTCACTTAACTGTGGCAAGAAAGCTTATAAAATGGGACAAAATTAACTTAAAAACTGTCTCGCTTAGCAACAAAAATTTTGGGCTCAGTTGTGATAGTAAGTCAAGGACTATCTGTATTAATAAGTGAATTGATGGTTTCAGACTCAAATTAACGGATTTAATAAGTTAGGATTTCAATAGTTCTACTGTATGCTTGGATCCAACTCTTTATTAGTTAGCCTAGTTTCCAAGGTTATCTGTTAAAATGAGCCAATGTTTTATGGAACTCAAACAGAAACTGAACTTGCTAAGTTCTTGTCACAGCAGCTATCATTACTAACTTGTCCTCTATTACTTCTGAAACATTTGTGAACAGCTTTAAAAGAAACTGATAATATTATGGCTGATTGATAACTTATCACTGATTTTCTTTGCTATTTTCTTAGCAAAATTTTGATAATCACTCAACTTCTTTTGTTTTTTTTATTATTCTAATAAAAAAATTGCCCTTCTATCCTACACAGAAAAACAAATGTAGATTTTAGATATGAATAATAATATATAGGTAAACAAAAGTAAACAAAAAACCAGCAGAGGACAGCTATTGGGAATATAAAGCTAGGGATACAACAGTAATAACTCTGCACCTAATTTCTGGATTGTATTGATGAAGAGATCATGAAGTGGATGGTTCTGTCACTAATGTATCTTCACCTATCAGAGGAAGTGGAGGGTGTGTTTGTGTGTGTTTCAGTCAATTATGGCAAGACTAAGGATCTATCAAGGTTGGCTAACTAACGCCATAAATTGCCAAAATTACATGGAAAAGTCATAATCTTATCTTTTAACATCAAAATTAAAGCTTAAGGCTTTGTGAATGTACTTCTTCTGTTGTACACAGTTTTTACATTAGTAATTTTCAGTGCCAACCTAGAGGTGAACAAAAAGGATATAAGAATAATGCAGAAAGGATAAGAAATATATGCTTTCAGCTGATCCTGAAGGCTTTTTTTTTGTATCCTGTGCAAAAGAAAGGGAGATCCCTCCAGGACCCCCTGAAAGAAAAAAGGGATGCTGAAGGAAGGAATGAAGAAGGAAGGAGGACCGTTTGAAGAAAATATGAAGAGAAAAGACATGTTGGAATAATTCCTGAAGAGATAAATAGTTCATCCTGCTCTGAAATCCTACTGAATCTGAACAGGCAGTTCTTATTAAATAATAACAAATTATTTGTATGTGAATATTAAAAATACAAATTCATAACCTTTAAAAAAATATGATTTCTGTGATTCAGGAAATAAATGAATTGTTAATTAGCTGCTAAACTCAACAAATATAAGGTATAATTTAACATCTCATTCATGAGGTAACATTTTCCAAGCTGCCAGTGTTCTGATGTGTTAAACAACAGTTCCCATCTTCCTAATCTGCTACTGGTTGCTAGTTTTCAAAAAAATGAATAACCATTGCATGCATTCAGAGATTAATGTCACTGGAACATCTTTCCTGTTTTTATTATAGCGGTGATCCCCCCCATGTCACTCCAATTGAAATATTGTTTCTGTCTCTGATATTATATGAATAGTCAGATTGACGGATTGAAAACGGAGGATATCAAAGATAGGTTTAACTTCCATATTACAATTTGTTCTATAAAAAATGATGTGTTCCTGGATATTTTTCGCATGAATTGAATTATTTTTCCAGTAGATCTTTTTGAACAACAGCTATTGTAGAACTCAGAGAGAGGCCATGCTCATAAAGAAAGGTGGTGAGAGAATAATTTCCCCAGAATATTAAAAATGGAAACCATATAATTATATAAATAAACTAACTTAATAAATCTTCCCTGAATCTTCCCTTCCAGAGCTGGTTTTCTATTTATATGTTTTTGTAGCCACAAAACTTTTAAAACTTTAGCATATTTATTTCGTAAAGAAAATCAACCCTTGCTGTTCTTTAGAAGGACAGGTACTGAAGCTGAAGGTCAAATACTTTGGCCACTTAATGAGAATTGAAATCTTATCGGAAAAGACACTGATGTTGGGAAAGATTTAAGCAGTGGTGGGATTCAGCCAGTTTGCACCAGTTTGGCAGAACCGGTAGCTAATTTTTTGTTGCCCAGGCCCAGAATGAACTTCCGAAAGCGACATCCGCATCGAGAACCGATTGTTCACATATTTGAATCCCACCACTGGATTTAAGACAAAAGGAGAAGGGGACAGCAAAGGATGAGTTGGTTAGACTATGTCATCGGCACAATGAACATGAATTTGGGCAAATTCCAGGAGATAGTGGAAGGGGGGGGCTGGCGTGCTATGGTCCATGGAGTTGCGAAGAATCAGGCATGACTTGCCAATTGAACAACAACAAAAGTAAATAACATTTGTACTTTTGTTCCCCCCCCCGAGAAATCATTCAAATAATTCTATCATTCATATCCAAATTCTTTTGTATATCCAGTAAGAAGGAGTTATACAAATTCATTTTCGGGTTCAATACTTACACATATTATTTAGGAAATAAATCATCCATCTATTCCATTTGTATATCCATATCTTTCTCCATATTATTGCTTACGATGGTTAATCCCTCTTCAAAGTAATTTCAAAATTATCCATTGCAGCTTGTCCTTGATTTATAAATTGATTACTTACAACAGAATTTGTCCATTTTATCAAGAGGTTTGTCTATTTTTTTCCAAAAAGATAGGCCAAAAAAGCACAATAACTCCTGTTATGGAATTCTGCCCCATTTTTTTCTTATCATAAAATGTGAAAAGCAAACACCAGTTTTTGTGAGAAAATTTCCCTAATTATATTAAAGCTATAACTCCAAATCAGTCTGGACCCTTAATCCATAGTTATTTATTTATCTTATTGTATTCATTAGATTTTATCATGGTTTTATTACTTTATTAGCTTTTAATTTTTAATTAACTTTTTGAAATCCATATCCTGGGTACTCTTTTGCTGTATAATCCAAAAACTCATATATTCCAAAAGTTCTTAAAATCAAATTTTTACCATCTTCCTCTAAGGGCTACAGGGACTCCTCAAAGGAATACAGGAAAATCTTGCTGACCTGAAGGGGCTTTGTCTCTCCAACAAAACAACAATAATTAAAAAAAGAAATCCAAAAAGTGATTAGGAAATAAGACTCAGTAGAACTCAATGCCCATAGAAGGCTGTGCTGCAGGGATGAGTTTGGTAGCATCCGAACTTCCAACTGCTCATAAGCCACTCACAGAGTGACAATTTCTGTGGTCTACTCAAGAAAAGTGGCTGTCTGGAATTGTGAATAATCTCAACAATCCCTTGGGAGAGATTTCCCTGAACTGGATCCTGCATCCAGGAGTGATTTCTTTACAAATACAGTACAATCTGATAAATCAGTGGAATGTCAGCTCGTCATGGTGCTCACCGGAAGTCATTGTGTAGAATACTAATCTATAATTATTAAATAAAAATGTGGAAATCTGAAATAGTAGTTCAGTTTATGTTTCTCACAGATAAATGAAATGTGAAAAATGTTTTCATAAAATATATGAAGGACTAGCAGAAAATGTGAGTTGGAAACATCTCTGGCAGATTGCTCCACTTGAGAATTTGGGATTCTTTTACTTTCACAACTGGGAATGGAAGGATGAATTGACACAGTCAGGTTCTGGAATATCAAATTTCATGTAGGACAGAACCACCATGTTTTCCAAGGTTCAACAAAACTTTAGTAAGCATAAATTGAATAAAAAGTAACCTTGTCTAACCTTACAAAGATACTAGAGCAACTGGGATTATTCATTCATTTTCTATTAGTTCTTAAAACGATGGAGCAGCTTCCAAGGAAACTGATTATAGTTTTCCATATTGATATGTTATCATATATTATCTTTGCTAGCAGGTAAGGCTTTGTGAAGCCAATTTCTGTTAGTTTTTTATTTAACATCAAGGGCAAAAATTCAGTTGAAACTAATTCAAACAGAATTCCTATTATCCATAAGAAAACAAAATATGTTGGTATTGGCTTGTTATAATAAGATTAAACAGAGAGATAGGGGGCACAAGAACAAAGAGATTAAATAGCAGCGAACAGTTGCCTTGGATATAAAAGTGGAGTGAGAGCAGCCTAGTTGTTGGCAAAATTTTGGGATTTCCTGAGATAATCCCCCACGATGCCAAGTATCATGAAGTCGTTGATCCTGGCATTACTTTGTATCCACCTGTCAAAAGGTGTACATAGGTGAGTATCTCAGCTAAGCTCATATATTAAATGAATATAGCATTGAAACAATCTAGAGCACATCACTTTTAGCCAAAAAATAATGGCAAAATTACATTTTTATTGTTCCATGGCAAGCTTTAGCATTCCTGCTTCTTCGCTTAATCTTCTGTTTGTGTCGTATTTGTTCGGTGGGATATTATTGTTTCTAGTAACAAAATATTAAAAAATATGCAGATTGTTGTGATAGGTAAGGACATTCTGACTATCTTTCTTGGTATGTAGAATCATTCTGAAGAAAGGAAAATCCATTCGTGAAAATATGAGAGAGAATGGAGTGTTGGAAGAATTTTTAGAAAAATACCATATTGATCCTGGATTAAAATATCAGTTCAATAAATTTGGTGTTACATATGAACCAATGACCAATTATTTGGACGTGAGTATTTAAACCACAGAAATCTGTGTTTTTTTTTTTTCCTGCTCCTTCATCTGACTTTGTAACTCTAGCATTTTAGTTTATTATTGGTACATTGTGATAGCTCTTCTCAGAATCAAATAGGATATTATTTATGTATAATGAAGTATCAATTATTTCATCTTTTCTTTCTCCTATGAGTAACTGTAAATTGTCTGCCGATGCCTGAGCATAGGAAAGAACACAATCCATTTATTTATTTCAGTCAATTTTTGGTGCTACCTGATTATTCAGCAACATATTTTGCAGCTTATTAATTTTTGCTGATTATTCTTTCTGATTATTATTCAGCAAAAAATAGTTCTCTGTATTTTATTAGTGTCACGTGATTGGATCACTATGTTCTGACAATAATACCCAGATATGTCCATCTTATTAAAGAGCAACTTAATGTAATATGTATTTGGGACTTTTTTTTTTACTATGACCAGTGAGCTTTCTGGGTTAGGGCTGCAATTTCTCTTTATTGATTTACTCTGATTAAATAAAAGACAAGGCGAGCAGTCCATGCATAACTTACTCCCAAAAGTGACATAGTCTACAACTGGAATTATAAATCCATTTACTTCTGAATAAGTCACACTGGATCCAAATACTATATTTGATAGTAACAAGAAGTCTTGATCTTAAAGCATCATACAGTCCAGTATATACTCTTCAATGAACACTAAACCAAAGTTTGGTTTATTTGTTCATTTCATACCCAACACCACTAAAAAGACAAATAATCCTTCAGATTTTTAAATGTTTTTTTCTCCTTTTCATGGAGAATGGGCAAGGTGAGAATAGAAAATAACTGTTTTTGTGAATGAATAGAAATCTAGTTTCTGTATAGGGCTGCCAAGATTTGCGCTTCAAAAATCTGGAGACTGTGAGATGGCAGCAAACAGTGCACTGTGCCTCTTTGCTGCCATTTTGTAGTCACCTGAATGTTTGTAGCCCCAGAAGAGGTTCCTGTAGTCATAGAGATACTTCTGAGGTCCCACTAGACGGCAACATTTCAGGGAAGGGACTGGAGAGTGTTTCCCCTATTTAATCTCTAGGACGGGCATGTACTGTCAGGGAGAGGTAGGCCCCTACTTATTTAGCTATTCCGAAGTTTTTGTGAAACCTGCCTCATAAATATTTTTATTTGACAGTCTTATTACTTTGGAAAAATAAGCATTGGGACTCCACCACAAGATTTTCTTGTTCTTTTGGACACCGGCTCTGGTTATCTGTGGGTACCTTCTACATATTGTACATCAAACGCCTGTGGTGAGTAATCCGCTCCTTTGCTGAATGTTTTGAATGTCTGCTTCTAGAGAAAACATTTATTTTTGTCAAAACCAAATACATCTCCCCTTATTTTAAACCATTCATACCTTGTCCATTGGCAAGGAACCTTTTTCTGAGTTGCAGACCCTAACTCAGTTTTCCAGTCAGTGATGGGATCACTGAAGGAAACAGCTGAAAGTCTGGACCCTTTTTTCATCATTTTAGGTCCTTTGAGGTGGTAAAGATAGGAATTAAACAGTTTCACCTGATTTTGCTCTTACCTCCACCCTTATTATTTTTTTTTACAAAATTGAAACTAGTTGGTGCCTACAGCACAATACTGGATTTCCTATTTGGTAACTGTATATTTCATTTGTCAAGGCAAAAATGACAATCAGTTTATGAAAATAAATTCAAAATTCTAAGTGTGTCACTGGTCCAAAATGACCCGAGTCATGTACAGCTCTATACATAATGGTTTTTCAATGGAAGCACACTTCCTAATACCTCAGGAGTTATTTTAAAATGTTGATAGTTACCAAGTTGTCCATAGTTTTGCTTTGATCTGGGTCCACAAAAGAGGACATCTTGACCTATACTAATAAGGATGTTTCTTATGCACGTCTTTATGAGTAGTGATTTAAGTACAGGTCTGTTGTGATTTAAGTATAGACAAAAAGATCTTTCACTACACATAGAGCAAAGCTCCTACTCTTTATTTTTTTCTTGTTTTGTTGCAGGAAACCATAATCTATTTAACCCAAAACAGTCATCTACTTATTACAGCTATAGTGACCAAACTTTTGTCCTGCGCTATGGATTTGGTGACTTGAGTGTAAAGCTAGGTTTTGATACTGTGCGGGTGAGTGGATTTTAACCATGTTGTTAATCGCTGATTCCTTAACTATGTTACACTGATTAATTCATTAGGATTAGCTCTTATTTATTTACATTTATATTTATAACTCTTTTAGGGGAGAAATGCATAAAATAAGCAATAAAATGATCATAAATCTAAAGAGAATAAACACAATGAAAGCCATTTGTCTGAAATGGTATAGGGTTTCCTGCCTGAGCAGGGGGTTGGACTAGATGACCTCCAAGGTCCCTTCCAACATTATTATTATTATTATTATTATTATTATTATTATTATTATTATTATTATTATTATTGTTGTTGTTGTTGTTGTTGTTATTATTATTATTATTATTATTATTATCATTATCATTATTATTAAGTAAATTGGTATCATAATAAAAGCCATAGAAACAGTGTTCTGATTTAGATAACATACTAATCTAACATTGAAGGTCCAACATCAGATTAATTTTTTAAATGGATGCAAGGAAGTCACTAACAAAGTTTCCAGTGAGAGGATGCTATTACAAAAAGTCTGGTCTTGCAGTACTCACCTGCTCTACTTTTTGTGTGTGTGTTACAATATCAATAAAATAAAATAATCTTGAAATCCTGTAAGGATGAATTATGGCAATCAGACATCTGCTACCATTGGTGGGCATAGCTGGCATATTTGCTAAAGATGATATAATTCATTTGGGACAATGGCTCTTAATGAGATTCTACCACATCTTTATCCTATAATTGGGGTAGCTCTCATCAGCAACTGCAGGGGAGTAAAAAAAAAAGGCAATATAACAGAACTACAGCAATATTTTGTATTTGTAATGAGCAACAAAAAGACAACATCTTGACTGTTTTATCGCTTCCCACAAACAATACCATTTTCACATATGGATAACTTCAACTTTTCAGCAAGCCACCACTGCCCTTTCTAGACATTTCCATGCTATTGCAAAGAAAGTGATATGGAAGTCACCAGAAATCAAACTTGTGTCAACTCTACAATGAATCTGGCTACAGCCTTTTTGCGCATTCTAGGTTGCCACAAAGATGGGAGGGGATGTGGAGGAATTCTGTAAGTTCACACAATTAAATGTCCTGTGGGAGCCAAGGTTATTTTTTCTGGTTAGATTGGGAGGGGGAGCAATTTGGTAGAAAGCTTGTGAAACTGTTCTATTGGGAAATGTAGCTGATTGCATAGCACTGGGTTGGGAAGTTTAACTTTGTAACAGTGTGACTCTTTGCCGGGAATTTCAGACTTGGTTTCACTTTTGAGCGTGCCAATACTATGTAACCAATAAACATGTTCTTTGAGGATGTTTCTAGCCCCAGAGGTCTGATTTGTTTGGTCTATCACAGGGGTAGGCAACCTTGGCTCTTTTATGACTCGTGGACTTCAACTCCCAGAATTCCTGAGTCAGCATTCCCACAGGAATTCTGGGAGTTGAAGTCCACTAGTCATAAAAGAGCCAAGGTTGCCTACCACTGGTCTATCAGAACCTTGACAGCTTGACTTGAACAAGACATTATGCTTACCATGTATCTTTATTGATTACCATTTTTCAATCTTGTCTCTCAGATCCAGAATATTGTAGTTCAAAAACAACAGTTTGGATTGAGTGTGGATGAAGCCAACTATCCCTTCTACTATAGCAACTTTGATGGCATTTTGGGTTTGACCAATCCTCCTCCAATTACCGAGAGATCATACACACTCTTGCACGAGATGATGAGTCAAAATCAGATTTCTGAACCCATTTTTAGCTTTTACTTCTCACGGTAAATTAACCGCATTATATTTGTGACATAGCATGTGAGAATAATTATGGTTTTCTTCCAGAATGAGTTACCTGGAATACAGCAATTTACTTTTATTTCATGGCTCAATCCCATCATCACAAATATAATCAAGTTCAAGCAATGAATGATATTGAAAGAGAGGGGAAACATCAGGATAAGAAAGAGATTTAAAATTATTTTTGAGTTAAATCATTGTTGGTTTAAAAACTTATGTTGTTAAGTGCAAGCAACCAGAACAGATCCAAGGTCAAGAGATTTGTTTATTGTTGATTCACTAGTTCAGAAGAATCTAACCAAATTGCCCACCTTCCCTTGGGAAAGCCTGATTTAACCCTAAATGTTTAACCTCATACACTTCCTCCCACCCACCCCCAAAGAGTCCAAGGTAGTGTATCTCTTAACGCCTATTCTATCCTCTTCCTTTCAGCTATTGATTCCACCACATATACTAAGGATTACTTTATTCACAGTATGTGTGTAAAAAGAAGATTTATACCCTCAGTTGGAATTGTGAAAAGTTCAATGTTTCATAGTCTTTAAAAACATGACTCTCAGTGGAGTCAGCAGTTGAATGAAGGATGTGTATGTCAATGGGGGAACCTGGGATGGGTGAATATTCAGAATTAATGGACAACAATCTGTACTCAGTTTACTTCATTGTTATTTTTAATTTTACTCAACAACTCTTTTTTTTAAATTTTCTGGCCACATTTCCTGGTGAAAATGATCCTAGGGTTGTTTATTCTATACAAAAAGTCCACAAGCGGATGAAAAGCTATAGCTAATATTCTTTCTTTTGCCCATTTTCTCATTCTCTTTTCAGTCAACCAACTTATCAATATGGAGGAGAACTGATATTGGGAGGCATTGACCCCCAGATGTACACTGGGGAAATTACCTGGGCCCCTATGACTGACCAGGGTTACTGGCAGATCGGTATAGAAGAGTAAGTGATATTCTTTCTTTCTGATTTATATCTTCCATTTTATTTGAATGAGCTGATAGAAGGATATTCTTTTTCCTATTGGTTAACTACATTAGACTTTTGGCAGAACTGATTAATCTAACATTTGTTTGCTACCTCTAAATATGTTTGTGGCAAGGAAAAAGAGACAGGCCTTCTTCTGCCTAGGATAGAAACTTGGAAAATAGATGGGCACTTCTAACCATCCACCCACCCACCCATCCAGCCAGCCAGCCTGGCAGCTAAATCCTCAATTGGCTAGAACTATATTGCATTATATCTTTCAAAAATCCTGGAGCACCGGAGAAGTACCTGAAGATTGGGAAAGGGCTGATGTGGTTCTCATCTTCAAGAAAGGAAAAAACACAGACCCAGCAAACTAAAGACCCATCACCCTTACATCAATACCTGGGAAGATCCTGGAAAAGATAATCAAATACCAGATCTGCAAACAACTACAATCAAACAAAGTTATAACTGGCAGCCAGTATGAGTTTATTAAAAACAGATCATGCCAAACTAATCTTATTTCATTATTTGATAAAGTGACTAAATTAGTAGACCAGCGAAACACTGTGGATATAGTATTTAGATTTCAGTAAGGCATTTGACAAAGTAGACGACAACCTGCTGCTTAGTAAGTTAGAAAAAGGTGGAATAGACAACATCATCATCAGATGGATCTGTAGCTGGCTGACAAACCATACTCAGCGAGTAATCCTCAATGGTACTACATCCGCATGGAGAGAAGTAAGCAGTGGGGTACCACAAGGCTCTGTCTTAGACCCTGTATTCTTCAAAATCTTCATAAATGACTTAGATGAGGGAATAGAAGGGGAACTCATCAAATTTGCAGATGACACTAAACTGGCAGGAATAGCCAACATCCCAGAAGACAAGCTCAGGATCCAAAAAGATCTTGACAAACTTGAACAATGGGCCATATCCAACAAAATGAATTTTAATGTGGAGAAAAGCAAAGTTTTACATTTAGGCAGGAAAAAAATCAAAGATATAAGTACAGATTAGGCAAGACCTGGCTCAGAACCAGTAACTGTAGGAGGAACCTTGGAGTCCTAGTGGACAATCACTTGACTATGAGCCAGCAGTGTGCAGCAGCAGCCAAAAAAGCTAATACATTCCTGGGTTGTATAAACAGAGGCATAGAATCAAGATTACGCAAAGTATTGGTACCGCTTTATAAAACCCTAGTAAAACCACACCTGGAATGCTGCAACCAATTTTGGTCACCATACTACAAAGAAGATTTGAGACTTTGGAAAAAAATCCGAGAAGAGCAACTAAGATGATCAAAGACTTGGAGACTAAAACATATGAAGAATGGCTACGGGACTTGGGTTTGGCTAGTCTAAAGAAAAGAAGAAACAGAGGTAACATGGTAGCAGTATTCCAGTATTTGAGGGACAGCCACAAAGAAGAGGGTATCAAACTATTTTCTAAAGCACCAGAGGGCAAGACAAGAAACAATGGTTGGAAACTGACCAAAGAGAGAAGCAACCTGGAATTAAGGAGAAACTTCCTAACAGAGAGGACAACTAACCAGTGGAAAAGCTTGCCTCCAGAAATCATGGGCGCTCCATCACTGGAGGTTTTTAAGAAGAGACTAGACAGTCACTTGTCTGAGATGGTATAGGTTCTCCTGCTTGAACAAGAGACTGGACTAGAAGACCTCCAAGGTCCCTTCCAGCTCTATTCTATTCAAATACAAATTATTATTCTATTCTATTCTATTCTATTCTATTCATCTGCCATCCTTGGGTGGAGTGCAGAACACTAAAAAAACTTAATGTAATTATAAAACGTGTAAGAATCAAGAAAGAAAACAGACCAAGGAGCAAGATGGAGTCAGCAGCAACAATAATAGAAACAAAATTCACAATGTCAAATCATCTTAATAAATTTAATTATGAAAAGAGCAGTATTATGGTAATGTTTTATTTCTAAGAATAATAAAATATTTTAAAACAACTTATTAAAAATGGCTTCATCATCGAAAAGAGTGAGATGTAATTTTCAGGTAAGTTTCTCATTAGGGAAATTTGAAACCTTAACTTCCATCACCACATTCAAAGCCCTAGAATTGAAAGCCACAAGTTTGAATTAAAAATAAATAAATAAAAAGTAAAGTAAAGGTTGTTTTAAATACAAATACAAATAAATAAATAAAAATGACCTTTCCATCAAGAAGAAGGAAGGCCTTATGAGTTTTAGTGTACATTTATGAAGAAAAGTTAATAAAAACCCATTAGCAGCACAATCCCAAGCATGTTTGGTCGAAAGAAAATGCTACTGAATTTAGCAAAGTACACCACTGAACAAATATATTAAATAACGTAATATACTGTGGAGTATGAAATCTATATAGAAGATACATTCTCTCACACATGAAGCTATCGAATATTTGAAGCTCATTCATTTTGCTTTTAAAAATGTTTTGCTAGTAATTGGCTTCCAAAATTTCTAGTAGAGATCTTTCCAAGGATCAGTTGGAATATTCTTGCCTGTTTGCTTCTGTAAATGCAGCAGAATGTTTAGTGGACATACTAATTGTAAAATATTGACCAATATTTATACACGGTCATAACTATGGTGCCAACATTTATAGTTACTCCTCCATGAAGTATGGCATCTGCATTTAAATGTCCCATTGATTCTTGAACAGCTTTCCTCAAATTGATGCTTTCCACATTTGTTAGATTTCAACCATCCTGAGCCATCATGGCCTTTGTGGGCTATCCGGTCAGTAAAGGCTGTATGTAGATTAAGAGTCCATAGGTTTTTATTTGTTTTACCAATTGTTGTCTGCTTTAGTTATTTGTAACTGTTTTGGTAATATTCTGTGTTCTTGTCTATAGATTTTCTATTGGCAACAAGGCCACTGGCTGGTGCAGTGAAGGCTGCCAGGGCATTGTGGACACGGGAACAATTTTTCTAACTATTCCACAACAATATTTAACGGATTTTGTTCAGACTGTAAATGCTGGTTCAGTAAGTAGAGGAAAGAATTTTGAAC